TTCACTGGAGGGGGCTCTCCTGACAGCTGACACACTTAAGCCAAGTGGCTGCTCAGGAGAAGCCTGCCTGGTCTGTTTTCAGAGAAACAGCCTTTAGGAATTTATCCTCCAGTTGAAAGGTTGTCCAGAAATCATGGAGCTGGTCCGTATTTGTGTTCACTACACAGGAGCTGCCCGCCCCGCAGCCTTCTTTCTTCATTAGACGTGGGAGCACCTCCCAGGTTTGCTGGGGAGAAAGTGTCCGTGCTCTCATTGCTGGTAAAGGGGATTGAATTCTGTCCCCAGGTACATATATTGTAAATCCTAACGTCTATGCATGGACTGGCTCTGTTATGTGAATGAAGGAGGATTGAGTAGGGTGTACCTTGAGTTAATCTCTTTTGAGATACAAAAAATGTATTGAAGATGTGGGCAGCCTGCTGCCAAGCCACAGGGAGATCTCCAGGCAACCAGGAAACAAGCTGAGGGGACAAGGACCTCTCCCCGAGCAGAAGTCACTGCCCCAATGTAGACTTCTCACTCTCTAAACTATGAAGAGCAATTTCCTGTTTGTGAAAAGTCACCCACTTTGAGTGTTTTTGTTATAGCAAGACAAAAGAACAAACAAATCTGTCTCGGAAGAAGTACAGCCAGAATGCTCCTTAGAAGCCGGGATGGCGAGAGTGTGCCCCGTGCACTTTGGACATGTTCTCAGGAGAAACTAGTCTCTGGGAAGGACATCATGCTGCTTCCAGGGGACAGACAGTGACAAAGAGGAAGACCCTGGACAAGATGGATTGGCACCGCAGTGGCTACAACGGGCTCAGAAGTAACTGTGAGGATAGTGCAGGCCCGAGCTGGTCACACAGGGTCACCCTGAGTCAGGCTGACCTCGCAGCAAGACAAAGACAGGGACCGGCCATGGACACGCGCCGTTGAGTTGTTGGTTTGAACAAGGTACTGGAGATGCCCATGCCTTAATTTAAGGGAGTCTATTTGGGGAAATCCCCAAGACTTTCTTTCAAAAATCTTAATGTAATCATCTTTAAAGGGGAGTAAACCAGCAAATGCCTCCTGGGATTCTTGCAAGAATTAAATGAAATGCGATTTGGTTTAGCATCACGTAAATGTTCCGTGAATGTCAAGGATTATTTGTCCATTTTTCACACTTGCTTTGTTTAAAACCAGGATTTGAGAAAAAGCTACTAAAACATGTACCAAATTATGAGATTAAAATAAGGAAATGAGTGTTTCCCGTTCCTATCTGTACCAGTGTCCATCCTCTGGTCTAGCCGGATTTGTAAGGTAGAGTTCGTGTCACGATAGTGGAAGGGAGGAAGCATTAAAGAACTAGAGGAAGGTTGTATGTTTCGTTGGTGCTACACTGCACCCTGACTGGCTCGTCTCCTCCCCATGACCCTTCTGTAAGGGGATGTCCAGTTGGATGTCCTACAGATGGGCTTTGGGTCTCCACTCTGCACTCCCCCTCATTCACAATGATTTGATTTTTTTTGCAAAGTAATTATGCATTGAATCGAATAATAAAAATTGGGGCTTGTGTTTTGTAAAAATAATCATAATAAGGAAGTAAGAGAACTGCAGTCCCTGGGGTTGCTTCATCCCAGAGACTCAAAGGGTTTCATTTTCTTGTACAAGACGCCAACGTGGCCATCTGTGCATTTACTTGCTGACCTGTTCAGCACTTATCATTGAGCCCCTGTCCGGCAGGGCGACATAGTCGAAGGAATTTTAAAAAGAATTCTGTTTATGTCTCAGGCTGGGAGAAGAGTCCAGAGACATTCAACTACAACACAGTGAGGCAGGAGCGGTGGGTGAAAAACGGAGAAGGACCAGAGTTTCATGACTTGTCCGGGGTGGCCACCTGGATAAGTACTCGTCTACAAGGACCCGGTGGCACATTGGCTAAGCACTCTGCCCCTCACCCAAAGGACTTTGAGTCAAGCCCACCAGCAGCCCCAGCAGAGAACAGGCCCGGCCATCTGCTCCCATAAAGAGTATAGCTCAGACCACCCCGTGGGGCAATACTCTTCTACCCTACACGGTCACTGTGAGCCAAAATCAACTCACTTGCAAGCACAACCACACGATGAGCTGGCTCTGCATTTACTTCTCCACCCTGAGAATGTGTCCGCTTTATGTTCGTTTTAGCAGCACCCTCCAGGGCCAGAGGTGACAAACCAAGATGGCCAAGATCAACACCCAATGCTCCCACCCCTCCCAGGCCCGCCTGGCGATAAGCAGCGCAGAAGGTGATCTGGATCGTGTCGAAAATGGCCTCAGCCGGTAAGATGATCCTGACACTTGACATTGAGACAGCTGATTCCATGGCTGACCCAGAGCCCAGAGAAACTGCAATTTGGGGTCGAGGGGGTGTTCCCAGCATGCCTTTGGGCTTCACTGTTCACCTCACTTCATGCACACAGGCTCCAATAAAGCAGAACTCCTGCTCCCATTGTAGAGATGTGGAGAATGAGAACAACGAGCTGCCTGGCTTCTAGAAGGCAAGAAAATAAATCCTCAAGTGCAGTAAACTAAGCTCTTGTTAAAACCTCCCCACACCGTAACACCCTTTTTGCATGTGTACAACAAGCGATGATTGCAATCACACGGCTTCTGTGTGCCAGCCACTGTCCTGGGCACTAAAAACAAACAAGCAGCAACACAAGTCCATTGGCATCAATCAGGTTGATTGCAACTCATGAGTCATGCTGCATAGGACTTCCAAGACTGGAGAGCTTTATGGTAACATACAGACTCATCTTTCTCCCACAAAGTGGCTGGTGGGTTTGAACTGCCAACCTTGTGGTTAGTAGCCCAACAACTAACCTACAACCCCACCAGGACTTCTGGTCCTGGGCACTAAGGGTACTATATTAACCACATGCCCTTCCTCCTCACTTCCCAGGGGAAGATCATAAGACAGGCCAATCCTGGGACATGCTATACAGGGGCCTGTAGGTAGTGGGTTGTGTCTCCCCTGTGAAGCCATGGGTGCCATCAATGACATCCTGATATAGGTGGTCACAAGGAAATCTTCAGCTCTAGGGTCCTACTTCCAGTCCTGTATCTAGCTCAGTAGACCTGAGGAAGGTCACGTATCAAACTCTCCATACCTCAGTTTCAATGACAGAATGGAAGGGGATTCGTTCCCAGTCTCCTGGCATTATCATGAGGACATGGGTGAATACCTGTTTGGGGCAAATGGACTTACAAATTTCTATCTTCAAATTCTCGAGATGATTTTGTTAAACCTTGAGAAATTATATTTATGTTGAATATTTATGCTATTTTTATCCTGAACATATAGTCCTGAAAATTTGTCCCCCCTGTAAGACTTTGTGTATTACCTGGTGATCAAAGAAAAAAAAAATGCAATGACAGCTCTTCAGACTGCACAAGCCCAGCACACGGTCCCTCCTCCAGCATCGCTTCCCGTTCACTTATATGTGTACCACATATGCACGTCTGTCCTTTCTCTGTCACGGGTCTCAGAAAACTCTGCTGATCATGATTGTCTTGGGATTCTCCAGAGAAACAGAATCCATGAAGTGTGTGTGGGGTGTGTGTGTGTGTGTGTGTGTGTGTGTGTGTGTGTGTGTTAAAGAGAGAGATCGAGGATTGCAGCCTTCAGTATGAATTACAGCCCAATGTAAAGAAAACACAAATCTTGACCACTGGACCCATAGGTAACATCATGATAAATGGAGAAAAAACTGAAGTTGTCAAGGATTTTGTCTTGCTTGGCCCCACCATCAATGCTCGTGGCAGCAGCAGTCACGACCTCAAACGGGGCGTTGCATTGGGTCAATCTGTTGCGCAAGACCTCTTCAAAGTGTTGGGAAGCATGGTTGTTACTTTGAGGACTAAGTAGCCCAAGTCTGACCCAAGCCATGACATTGTCACCCACTCATATGCATGTGAAAGGGGGACATTGAATAAGGACAACCAAAGAAGAATGGATGCATTTGAATTATGGTGCTGGTGAAGAATATCAAAAGTACCATGGACTGTGGGTTAGTCCAGGTTGACTAGAGAAACAAATCCAGAGACACCCATATGTGTGTGAGACAGAACTTCATATCAAAGAGAAATTGTACATTAAGAAAACATCTCAGCACAGGCCAGATCAAGTGCCTAAGTTCGATTATTGCCCCATATGTCAATATTAGTCCATAAATTCCTCTTTAGACTCACGCAGCCACGTAATGATGCTGAATGCAGGAAGGTCACAGGCCAGTGGGAGGAAAGTTCTGTGGATCCAGTGGTGGTGGGAGCATCTCAGTGCTGGTGTGGGTCTCCATATGGCTCCTCAGCTCCAGGGCTCTGGCTCCATCAGCATAGCTCCATGTGACTTGTCATCAGGAAGACAAAGCAGAGTGTGTCTGGCCTCCAGTGAGCTATTATCTGCGTCATGCCTCCAAATGAGGTCATCAAGCTGCAACCCGATTGACAGGCTAGACTCCACCCCTTCCTCAAGGTGGCAGTAGATGATGTAACTGCCACAGACTGTCTTGGAAGAAGTACCAACAACCCTGTCTTGGAAGAAGGACAGTCAGAATGTTCCTTAGCAGCAAGGTTGGTAAGATGTTATCTCATACACTGGGGACATGTTGTCAGGAGAGACCAGGTCCGGCAGAAGGACGTCGTGCTTGGCAAAGCAGGGGGGGCAGCAAAAAGGAGGAAGACCCTCAATAAGCTGGCTCGACACAGTGGCTGCATCGCTGTATACGACCTCTACAGAAGTGAGGATGGCTGTGTTTCCTTCTGTTGCTGCAGGGTCGCTATGAGTGGGAGACGGCTCAAAGGCGCCGGGCAACAACCACAGAGAGCGTGAGAGTGAGAGAGAGATTGTTCCCTCAAGGAACTGGCTCACACAGTTATACAGGTTAGTAAGTCCCAACTCAGTGGGCTTCGTAGACGCCTGCGGGCATGCCTCCCAACATGCATAGCTCAGCGACAGGAAGAATGGAGAACTGAAAGAGTGGTTTCTGCCCAAAGATCTATTTGTAGCCTGGGGAAAGGCCACCCCCACCAGGCAACCCCCTTTCAACAGACAGATTGATAACATGAGGAGGATGTGATGACATTCATTTCATGGAACTACTTACTGTGATGGAATAGTAACTAGCGATCTGGCTAAACTACTGGGAATCCTAACCTAGCCAAGCCGACGCAGAGAATTAGCTCTCTGAGGATGGACAGGAATTTCCAAAAGAGATTGAGTCTCCCCGACGGAGGAGTTAAGCAACGCATGCACCGTGCCTTCTGGAGCAAAGGAAAGGTTCAAGAGATTTATAGACCCTTCATCCATTTCAACTTGGTGCTGGGTCCCCAGGGAGTTTGATATCTTTCAGAGGCTTCAGATGGGCTCCTCCGCGATCAAACATCTCCCTTTCTAATAAGCCGACCGTCAAGGCCCTGCGTCTAACCGCTGGAGAGCTAGTCCTGTAGGGTAAGTCATTATACTTTATTTTTAAAGGAAAGTAATAATGCTTACTACGATAGTTATCTGTCCTTAAAACCTTCCTATGCGTTCGGGTTTCTTTTCCACACCTAACTTCGTAAAACCCTCTGATTCTGACTCGCAGTAACTTTTGACGGGACTAGAAAGCCTTGTCTGTCTTCGGCAGTAGGGGAGATGCTACACCTAGTAAGGTGACCAGATTTCAACGTTGATAAAGTGGGACAAAAGCGGGACACCATTGATAAAACTCATATCCTGGCGAAATAGCCACATGGCAGCCGAAAACCGTATACCCTAGCTTGTCGTGCATTCTTTCCAAAAATCAGGACTTTTTTAAAATGCCACGGGATGCGGGACAAATTGTTAAAAATCGGGATTGTCCTGCCAAAAGCAGGACCTCTGGTCACCTTAAGGTCCCAACAGTGTCTTAAGAAGCAGGAAGGGTGTGAGACAGCCCCGAGGAGAAAGCTGAGCTCCTGTCCAGGGTGCCTGCTTGCCTGGACCCCTGGACCCGTCCTGCATCTGCCTGCGCCAGGGGCGCAGCACAGCCTGGCGTGGGGCTGTTCCGTGGGCTTACAAAGCCTCTGGAAAAGGGGACTCTGGGAAGTCAGCTGCCATCACCCTGGGTCACACTCTCACCTGCTAAAGGAACGCAGGCTTCTGAGAGGTGCCCTGCAGGTGGCGTTTTGGGCAGCCATCAGCCATTCGGTCAAGCACTCTGGGTGGATGCCCTTCAGCAAGGCCTGGCTAGAACGGAGTTGCTGTGAATTGGTGCTGACTGTATAGCAGCTTACAAGAAACCACACATCTACTGTCTTTGTGGGCCAGAGAATGCCCTCCCCTCTCCCTCTCCCCACCTTTCAGGGACCAGCATGGTGGGCAGTGACACAGGTTTGGCGTCAGCAGCACCAGTTTTGCCACCTGGCAGCTGTGGGAAGGTGCTAGCCCTCAACACATCTCGGCTTCCTCCCCTGGCCCTGACCTCCAGGGTGGGGGCGATTTCAAACAGGTGGTGAACGCCAGCCCCTAAGACATGCTCATTAACCACGCACTGCTGTTATCAGAAGTGACTTCCCACCCGTGGGCTTTCTCTGCTCTCCCCGGCTGGAGAGCTCCCCACTCCTCTGACGCCCCAGAGGCACCGCAGACCTGCCATTTGGAACTGGCCATTTCCTGTCTGTCCATAAGTCTCATTTCCTCATCCTGACTCTTGACCGGGTCTTATTAATTCTCGCTTGGGCCGTGGCCCACTGTTGGCGTGCAGACAGGGTGACGCAGCATCCCATGGCAGCCCTACAGAGAGTGCTGGAGGGAGCGAGGAGAGAGGCTGCTTCCTTCACAGGACAGAGACCCGGCTTTTCCCCATGAACGCAGGGCTGGGTTAAGAGAGAGGCTTTCAGAATCTGTTTCTTGGAACCTGCAAAGAGTGAGAACCTGTGCTAGAGTTGGACGTGGAGGCCCAGAGGATGGGCCCGGGTCCCTCCCCTGCCTTCCCAAGCTGCCCAGCCCCTATCTGTCCACAACCAGAGATCCACGGAAGGTTGGCTTGAACGAAGCCCTCCATGGTGGCCACACACCATGTGTAACGTTTCCAAACGCTGTTTTAGGGGGAACCCATGGTGTTTGGGTAAACCACAAAACGTTCTCTTCAAATTCCAGCCCTTTTAGGAAACTTCCAGGAGAAATCATTGAGACTATGTATACTTAATATTTTTCTTTTTTATCCTACATGCTATCAAGAAACTTAATGTTGGGAAGTTCTCTGTGCATATGTGTGCGTGCATACGTGTGTGGTGTGTATGTGTGTGTCTGTGCTGAG